AGTCAAGGGTTAAGATCCCCTTACCGGTCATCTTTAAAAAAAAAAAAAAAAAAAAAGAATAAACATCAGCACTTAAACGAACATCTCTGCAGGTTTCACCTAAACATCTGAACACACTTGCCTTCCTCGGGAGGCCAGTACTGTCTACACCTGCCTTACCTGAAAGGCCTCTCCTCGCCTGGCTTCCCAACTATGCTAAATTTGGCTACCAGAACAATTACTCTAGGGCAGAGGAATCTCATTTCGATTTACTTTATTCAAGACCATGAGCTCCTCCTTGTTTATCAAAGAGTTCAACTTCCTCAGTTCCACCTGCAAAGACCTGCCCCGAATCACGTTTCCTCTGGTTCACAACTCACCAATCTCACTTGTGTCACACTCTTGTTGAGTTCAACCAACAGTCATGGCTCCCTACCTAGAAATGTGTTTCTGTTTCTCTATTTACTTATCTTTCTCTTACTTCCTCCTTTCTGCCAGTTCTTCTTTGAGAATCAGCTCAACTCAGTTCTAGACAGCTTCCCATATTTGATACCATGTAACTCCAGGTTCTCCTCAGCACCACAGAGCCCTGACCCTCATGTTCTCCATAAACCTGCACCTGCCACACCTCCACTCTTTAAATGCTCCTCAGTGCTATGAGGATCAGAACTCTCACCTCCTGCCTCCAAGTTCATCTCTTAAAACCATCAGGCCACTTAAGTGGTCTCTCTTCTATCTTCTCGGGATCAGAGAATACCTATTTATACAAAATCAGTAATTTAATTCACCAACTGGACCAGTAAGTATTAGTCCTTATATTTTCCAGTCAGTACATAGTACCAAATTCATATGTGCAAGTACAGGTTGAGCATCCCAAATGCAAAAATCTGAAATCTGAAATGCTCCAAAATTTGAAACTTTTTGAGCACCAACATGCCACTCAAAGAAAATGCTCACTGAAGCATTTTAGATTTCATATTTTTGGATTTGAGATGCTCAACCTGTACTTGTAATCTGAAAAAGTCCAAAATCGAAAACACTTTTAGTCCCAAGCACTTCAAATAACAGATGCTCAACC